TATAAATATAATATTATATTAATATATAATTATATTATAATAAATAATATATTATATATACTATAATTAATTTAATTTAACTTATTATAATGTATAAATATTATTAATTATATAAATTATTATTAATTTTATATATATGGGCATTCCACGTCAAATCGGCCACTTTTGACCCCGACCCCTTTCGATTTGGCTGAAAGTTTTTTTATCCTGTTCTACCCTATGAAAAATTATTTTCAGAATTTTTTCAAATTTTTTTACCAAACCCAAAAAAATTATTCATTTTTGAAAAAAATTGGCTCTTTTTTTTTAATGGCTATAACTTTTTCAAAATTCAACCTATTGGGACGTTTTTTTTCTTACATTTTTGTTTTTAAATGTACTTTTCAGAAAAAAATACAAAAAAATTTTTAATTTAGGTTTTTTTTTTTTAGATTAAATTAATGCAATTAAAAAATTTTACAATATTATATGTTTAATTTATAGTCTCAAGAAACAAAGTTTAAAAAAAAAAACATTTTCAATTTTGAAAATTGAAAAATTTTTTCAATTAAATAAAAAAAATAAAAAACTAACTCGGTCCATTCTGGGACTGGCGGTGATAATCGTAGAATTAGTCGAAGTTTTTTTTTAGAAAATAAAAAAAAAAAATGAAAAATGGCGAACTTCGAGAAAATAATGGCTTTTCTCAAAAAAATGCGAAAATTTAGGGGAGATTATGATCTTAAAATTATTTTGTATTTATTTCTGAAAAGTCCATCGAAAAACAGAAATTTACGAAAAAAACTAATAGGTTGAATTTTGAAAAAGTTTTTTCAAAATTTCAAAAAAAGAGCCATTTTTTTAAATTAATAATTTTCGTTAGGTTGGGTAAAAAAATTTGAAAAAATTCTGAAAATTGTTTTTCATAGAGTAGAATAGGATAAAAAACTTGTAGCCAAATCGAAAGAGGTCGGGGTCAAAAGTGGTCGATTTGACGTGGAATGCCCCATATATATATATTAGGGTGGGTTAAAAAAATCAATTATATTTTTTTACAAGTGCCACAAAAAAATGGGTTGCTAAAAACCTTAAAAAAATTCTCACCAAATATGAGCACTTAATTTTAATAGGAAGATCCTCCACATCGCAGTTTTTTATTTTTTTCTCAGTCCAATAGAATAAAATTCATACCTCATCATTAATTGATTATACAGAAAAATGTTCTGAAAGAATTTTGTAGGAAATTTAATGCTCTACAAAAAAGGTATCTTATATTTTTTCCGTAAACCTCACCATTTGAATGATATTGAAGATTAAAGTTTGATTATTTTAAGACAAATTTCATTTTTGTTTATGAATTTTATAACTCGACAATAAATGACTATTAAAAAATGTGCGATACAAATTTTTGTAGGAAATTAAGTGCTCTATAAAAATGGTGTCTTATGTTTTGGCGATTAAATTAAGTGTTCAAATGATATTCATCATCATTTTTATATATATATATATATATATATATAAAATTAATAATAATTTATATAAATATTAATATTTATATGCTTATATATTTATATATTTATAAAATATATAAAATATATAATAAATATATATATATATATATTATATATATATATATATATATGTTTATTAAAATAAAATAATAATAAAATAATTATTGATCGAATTTGAACAATGACTATAACTATCAGTGACTGTTATATAATTGAAACGAACTAAGACCACATAAAGTTGCGAAATACCTAATATTATTGTTGCAGATATTAAAAATAATTATATTCGCGATTTCATTGTATAAATAATGAAGCAAAACGTTGAATATACGATTAATCGTAAAGTCACTGCTCGTGTAATTTAATTAGCGTAACGGGAGTGTTCTTTAAAGAAAAAAAAAAAAAAAAAGTATATCAGGGGTGTATAATTATCTTTTTTTTTTTGTCGGGGAATTCTATCTACCCTAGTAGCACAAAATATTGATAAATATTGAATACATGTGTATTTAATATTAAAAATATTAATTATTAATAATAATAAAATAATAATAATATTAAAAAGAGATTCACAATATTTTCTTAATATTAAAAATATTAATTATAAATAATAATAAAATAATAATAATATTGAAAAGAGATTCAATGTCTTTTTAATAATCAATATACATGTATTCAATATTTTTCAATATTTTGTGATACTAGCGTATAAAGTTATTATATTATCGATTTGAAAGATCAAGGAACTATACCGAATCTGATTGAATAGGAATGGAATGAAATATTTATGCGCATCAATAACGACAATGATGATATTTCTTCAAGGATAACCGGTAACATAACATTATTAACATTATTCTGAAAGCAAACGTAAGATTTGTAGGACTCGAAAAACAACATGTGCTCATAAGTGAAGCGTAAAAGATAAAATTGCGGTTAGTATGAATCGGTGTTTCAACTCGTTCGGATGAATTGTTTTTAATCTCGCTGCGTAATACCTTCTTTTTAAATAAAATAAAATAAAATAAAATAATATATTTTTTATTCATATTATTTTTGAAAGTTTTTCACGATTGAGTGCATCAATAAGATACCTAAGATAACGGATTTTAAACTAAAAGGTGTTTATCCATGACATTTAGATACTAAAAATCCTCTACTCGTTTTAACTATATAGTTATTATGCTCATATGAGCATAAGCTTCTAACGATTATCATAAGCTTGCATAATCTTCACGGTCACGTATAATATTATTCGATATTGTCATTTGATAGTTCATTCATTTTTAGATTTTATATTCAATTGAATTCCATATTTCCCCAGTAGCACAAAATATTGACAAATATTGAATACACACACATGAGTATTTAATATTATATTATATAAATTAAGTTAATTTAATTTAATATTATATTAAAAAGACATTGAAAATCTCTTTTTAATATAATTATTATTTTATTATTATTATTATTATTAATAATTAATATTTTTAATATTAGATACACATGTGTATTCAATATTTTACAATATTTTGTGCCACTAGGGATTTATTTTCTTACGTTTCGTATTTTGTAGGATTTCGTTTTCCCTTATCAACGATATCTATACGTTTAATCGTTTCGTATCGCGATAAGAAACTCTGTAGCTTTATTTTGTCTTTATCTGTCTCTATCTCTCTTACATTTTCCTACGTATTATAGTGATTACATAAAACAACGTATATAATTATTAATTCGTAGAAATTAAGTTGTTGAATTTATATACACGAGATGGGGGTGGGGGTATTATCGATCACTTTGTTTGTCTCATAGTATTGAATAAATGTATTTTTATTTCTTTTTTATTTTTTTAAATATACAAAGAAAAAGACCTAACTAAGAGATGAATGATAATTGATCGGAGAACACGTGTGTTGTCAACGTGATTAAAACAGATCGAAAGAAAGAAAGAAAAGATAAAACTAACTACGATATGCGTTTTCCGTACGATTCTGTAGTTTATTGTCTCGTTGATGGAAATGTGGCGTATATGAACAGGATGCCTGACTAGACAGCAAATGGTTCTTAAGTAGAAAGAAAGGCCAATATCGAAACTGATTGAGAAATAAACAAGAAAGCCAATAGAATGGTTGGTTGGTTGGTTGGTTAGTTGCTTGGCCTATCCTTGAATTATTATCGAAACAAATTTTGATTTAACAGTGACCACATTAACATATTTCAACATAATGTTATTCATCATATGTATTTTAATTGATATTTTTTGAAAGATCCTTTTCTACAAAACCTAGTAGCACAAAATATTGAATACATGTGTGTTTAATATTAACACATTCGCAGCTGGCATATATTTTCCCTTTTTTATTACTATAAGTACCGACAAAAATAATAAATTATATTATATAATAATATAATAAAATGTAATTATTTAAATATTATGTCGAAATAATAAAACATAATAATAAAATAAAAATATAATTAATTAAATATTATATTAAAATAATTCAATATAAATTTAATACTAAATTTAATAACAACAATTTAATACTAAATTTATTAACAAAAATTTAATTATAAATTTAATAATTATAAAAATTTATATAAATATATAAATATAAATTTTATATATTATATATATTTAATATATATACATATGTAATGATAATTATATTATAGTATTATTACATTATGGTATTATTATACAGTATATAATATATACTAATAAATAAGT